CACGGGAAGAGCTTGCAATGCAAACCTAACTTGTAACTTTTATTCATTATGACATAAATGGCAACACAGAATGATTATCAAGATAATATTTATAAAAGTTGTGTCCACTATTGTATCAAATAAATTAATCTTATGCAAAAAAATCACTAGACTAAGAAATATTAAACAATGATAATCATGCCATAGAGCTCATAAGTAACACTCTAATTACACTATTCAATGCCGAACATTCACTTTATAATTACTTATAAATAAATTTAACAAGAAACTCCCATCACAATATTTGTATAATGCAAATTGTCTCGATTTTACCTAAATCTTCACAAAAAATGGTTACCAACTTGACATGACGTGTTGGCTTTTTGGAGGGTTGTCACTAGTCCACTTTCCATGTTAGGCTGGTTGGTCTGACTAATCAACAATATATTAATTTTAAAGGTTCTTTTGACGATTATTTTCGTTAAACATGCCAACATAATCCATATAATGTTAAATTATGAGCAAGTTGCTCTAATTTTTTTATGAACAGTTTAAGCATGTTTTGATTTTACAATTTTAAACATGATATTATAGATTAAGGCTGAGTAATACAATCGTATGTTCCATTTAGTAGAATTTTGAGCTTTTGTAGTAATAATCAAGGTGAAGAGATTAAACAAAGCATGATCAGCAGTTTAGTAAGGATTAAAGTTATTAAACTTGACTAGGGGATACACATAATAAGGATTCATTTATCTCCCAGAAAGAAAAAATTATTTTCCTTGAGTCACTAATTTATGGATATTTCACATATGAATCGTGATAGTCCTATTTTGTCAACAAAACCTTCATATACAAAAATATCCCTTACATTATGAAAGAAAGAACTCCACTAAACCTATTATTTTCTTGAGAATATTCACTTAAGTTCATATTATTTGCAGCTCTCTAAGTTTAAGTGAATAGGGTTGGAAACTTAAACATCGTAAAAGATTTTATTATTCAACTAAGTAGGGCTTTTATCAAGTTGGGGACTAACAAAGTTAGCTCAGCTTAAAATCAGATTTTTAATATCCTTTCAATTTGATCTTTTTTTTTTTTGCATTTTAAATTTATTCGAAACACACATATATATATATATATATAGAGAGAGAGAGAGAGAGAGAGAGACGCATAATCTTCTTAGAAATTTAGGTATTAATTTTAACATTTTGGCTTAGGTTAGCCTAAACGATGACTTTAATTTGATCTTTTTTTTTTTGAACTCAGATTTGACTCAAACAACTATCAAATTTTAGATTTAATGTTGGGAGCTTTTGCTCAAACCCTAATTTAGTGTCACACGAGAATTGAGCAATCTCATCTAAAAAGACAATTTTTATTTAATCATTTGATTTAATTTCACAAACTCCCTAATTGTAAATTCTATTTTAAAATAGTCGCGTAATTTTTATCTTGAATTCGTCATAAACCAAAATATAAAATCTCAATTTCTAGTTTAGGTTGGCTCTCTCAAATTTGACTTGATTTCACCCCTATTCAGAATGAATACTTTTGGATAGGGAAATTTTAGATAGAAAATGAAACTATCATATTTTGTAGATGAAACATTCATAAATTTATGACCGGTCTTTTTTTTTTTTTTTGGTTCTATAATATTCGTTCTTAGATTTTCTATTTTTACTTAGTTATAAGCAATTTTCTCTTATAAGAAAAATTTAATCATTCATAATCAAATCGAACCATTCATGCATAAGCAAATTGCTTTCTCTCATCAAGTGAGTTGCCCCCACCTGCGGCTAATTTTAAAAGAAAAACAACTTGAAGAGGGTGATTGGCATTGGCTCCGCACCCCTTCGCCTATCATTGCTCACATTATAATTGATTCAAATTTCTCCTATGAAAATCATTTTAGTTTAATGTCAATTGGCTTTTTAAATTTGTATTGTTGAAACTCCTCTTTAACACAAACGGAGGAGCTTCTTCCTAAAATTTGTCAAAGAAACCAAAAAAAAAAAAAAAACACTATAGGTGTTCTTCGCTACGTTTGATGGCTATGCAAGAGGAGAACAATGATAATTACTAGGTTACAACTGCAATTAGGAGAAAGATAATGAGGGCTTGACATATGCTTTGGGTTAAAAATAAAAAAAAAGAAGCCTTCTCAAGTTGACAATGATAATTATAAGATTACAAATGGAATTTCTGGATTGTTATCCTGAGCCTTGATAGAAACTTAAGATGATCACCGTGCTAGTTTCGCTTTTTTTTGTAGGAAACTTACGTGCTTCTTTCTTCCTCTCTATCTTATGAGAAAGTAATTCTCATTCTATTGCTTAATAGCGTAGATCATCGGCCTTTACATAACAGTATGTTGCAGCAATTTTGACATATATGTTTGATGTGTGGCCCGAATATCTGAGAAAGTCTTGATTTTATATTTCAATTTGGCATTTGAGGCATTATATGCTGGTAGGGGGATTAACTATATCTTCTCAATTTCTATTACAATTTTTGCAAGTTTAATCATTTATTAAGAACAGATGTATAGTTTAAGAAAGTTTCTCCTGACTTAGACTAGCATGAAAATTTTTTTCTCATATTATGACTGGTTTATCATTGAATTTTGGCTCAGTCACTAAAACCTTGGTATTTATTGTAAATTTAATCATTTATTAAGAACAGTTGTATAGTTTGAGAAACTTTCTCCTGACTTTGACTAGCATGAAATTTTTTTACTCAGATTATGATTGGTTTATCATTGAACTCTGGCTATCAGTAACTTGGTATACATATTCATTAAAGAGGCCGCTTGGGATCTCTTTTGTTTTTTGTTTTCATTTTGTTTTGTTCATGTCTTATTTTGAAATAAAACATGTTTGACATATCTAATATGATATGATTGTTTTCAGAAACGCTTAGGGCTTATTTGGGATTAATTTTGTTTTTGTTTTTATTTTTATTTTTTTCTTTTATTTTTAAAAATTATGTTCGTTTAGTATGTATTTGATATGTTATGATTTTTATTTCCTAAAAATAAATTGACAATTTTTTTAAGACACTCAAAATAATTTCTTGGTGTTTTGAGTGTTTTTTTTTTAAACCACACTTCAATCAAATAGTCAAATATTTTTTTTTTAGTTCAAAGCAAAACATAAACAAAAAACTTAAAAATAAAAAATAGAAAATAAAAACCAAAAGTGATCCCAAATGGCCCTTTAAAACACTTAAAAGTTGTTTTGAGTAATTTAAAAATAAGTTCATTTGTGTCTAAAAACTAAAAAATAGAAACATATAAAAAATACACCAAACAATAATATTTTTAAGAACAAAGATAAAAATAAAAACAAAAACAAAATTAAAAAGTAATCCCAAACATGCCCTAAGTTATTGTGCGGTGCTTTTGTCAATATGTTTTGAAAAGCCCATCTTTTGGATTTTGCGCATGGCATACCTTATATGGTACTAACCCATTATCGTTAGGTGCAATTTTTTGTGCTTCTCGTCCACAATTTTATTCATGAATTGTTTATTTTTTTGTTTGTTTGTTTTTTAATCAAAACTAATGAAAAGCAGTTATTTTTACTTTTGAAAATACATGAAAACCAAAAGGTTAAGTAATTGATTTTTAACTTCTAGTAACCAATGATACTTCACTCATTATAACTGTTGCCTGGTGTGGAAACTTAGCATCGAAGCATCAGTCTTAACTCTTCTTCAATTGCACCTAGTACTCCTAAACTATTGAACTTGCTACTCCTAAACCATTGAAGCTATTTACCTAAGAAATCCTCGTCTACTCTCAGCTCCTTTTCCTTGCCTTGTACTTCTCTGATTCAAGTTTGCAGACCCTTCCTTTGCCTTGTGCTTTTTTTTATGCTGCAACTTCCTTTGGGACTTTTGAGCATATAGTACTTCTATTCTCTGTCATTTTATTTTGTTTATTTTTCAACTATTAAGTGATTGAACTTTGCAATCTGATGGATAATCATTTTGTATTGTTTATGTTTGTATTTTACATGACGAACGCCTCGATGTCGTCATGATGATTTTATATCCAAAATTTTATAAACTTTTTTAAGTATTTTTTAGTCAATTTTAATCAATTAAAGAAGAATTTAAGCTGACTTGAAATCGAATGAATTTTGAGTAAGCATTTGTTTTCCATTTTTAGTTTGAATTGAGCTTATGTAACCTTGTTATGCAAATTAATTAATGTAAAAGGCAAGGTACAGAAATCTGTGATTGAGAAATAAATTTTAGGTGTTTTGAGTGTTTTCAAAAGCAATCATATCTTTATCACATATGCCAAATATATTTTATCTCAAATCAAAGCATAAACAAAACAAAGTAAAATAAAAATAAAAAATAAAAAGTAGAAGTGATCCCAAGCGATCCCTGATCCATTTAATGATGTTACAATGAAAAATGTACACATTTGAACATTTGCCTCTTTGATTGTTACATTTTTAGTTATGTAAGTTCCTTTTGTTACATATTCTGTTATATCCATATCAATATAATCCTGAACAAATTAAGGGAAAAAAAAATAAAAAAAACTTTTGCATACATACAGTTCAATTCTTATGCATTTACATTTCTGACACCTAAACTTCAATTGTCACATACATGCCACCTACCTATACACGAAAAGATGTATTTTAAAGGAAGATTTACGTACATACCACTGAATTCCTGTGTATTTTTATATCTAACACTCAACTTTAATTTTTACATACATACCACCTTTCCTTTAAATGAAAAGGTCTATTTCACTTTTTACAAGTTAAAATGGTGGTATTTTTTATGTGATGAAATATTTGAGCGGTATAAATGAAAAGAGTAAAGTTGAGGTGTTAGATATGTAAATACATAGAAATTGGGTGGTTTGTATGTAAATGCAAATATTTGGGTGGTATAAATATAAAAAGTAAAATTTAGGAGTTTGATACGTAAATACATATGAATCGTGTAATATGCATGTAAATGACCCAATAAAAAAATAACAAGGTTTTTTTCAGGGCACCATTTTAGCAGTGGCCGGAGGCAGCAGTGCATCAGTCAAGCTATGGGACACATCCTCATGGCAGCTCATCGATTCGCTAGCCATTCCCCGGCAAGAAAGTTCTCGTCCTTCCGACCGTGTCGGCGGCGGCAAGTTCGCGCTCTCCGTTGCCTGGAGCCCGGACGGCAGCCGGCTAGCTTGCGGATCCATGGATGGCACAATTTGCGTCTTCGATGTTCATCGTGCGAAGTTCCTCCACCACCTCGAAGGCCATTTCATGCCGGTTCGATCGCTTGTGTACTCCCCTTTGGATTATCGTGTCGTCTTCTCGGCCTGTGACGACACCCATGTTCACATGTATGATGCTGAGGGCAAAAGTTTAGTTGCCAGCATGTCCGGGCATTCGAGCTGGGTGCTGAGTGTGGATGCAAGCCCAGATGCTGCAGCCATTGCTACGGGGTCTAGCGATCGGACCGTCCGGCTCTGGGATCTAACCATGAGGGCATCGGTGCAGACGATGAGTAGCCACTCGGATCAAGTTTGGAGCGTGGCTTTTCGTCCGCCTGGCATGACGGGCGTTCGAGCGGGTCGGCTCGCTAGTGTTTCGGATGACAAGAGCATTTCTCTGTATGATTACTCTTAAGGGGAGAAATGCCATTTTAATTTTTGCAGATTTTAGCAATTCTAATTTTCACCTTATTTTTTTAGTTTTCTTGGAAGAAATTGGGACTGAGGCCGGACTAATGCCCTGTTGTTTCATGGAATGTTCTTCGGGGATGGAGTAATAATGGCTTGCCTGATAGCTGATTTAGCTCATTATTGTGCATTATATGCTATGAAATGGTTATTTGCTGACAATCTTTTGGTGTCATGTGATTTTCTATTGTTTTTTTCTGTTGAGTATTATTTGTCTTCATTTGCCATCAATTATTAGTTGTTAATTGAGAAGCTGTTAGTTTTACAGTAAATGTGTTGACAAAATTTTGGTATTGTATTTGCACTTCATGTATGATTTCTTAAGTGGTTGTATTGATTAATAGAGTAATTGGTAGTACTATGTGAGTGTCTTGATTTTATTTCATTTAATACATACCACCAAATTCTTATGTATGTATATATCTAACACTCGAACTTTATTTTGTAGATTTATATCATTTAGATTTTTCATATCACATAAAGAATGTAACTATTCTAAAAGAAAAAGTGAAATGCCTTTTTAGGCAAGGTGATATATATATATATATATATGTAAAAATGAAAGCTTAGATGTTAGATATTGAAATACATAGGAATTAAGTAGTATGCATGTAATTTTTTCTTTGATAAATTATTTAATGAATACAATCTTTACAAAATGATGCTTCAAGTTTTATTTGATTCTATTTTTGTTTAACTTTTAAATATGGTTTTTACTTTTTTAAATATATGCTTAAAAATTAATTATTTTGTAAGTATGCTCTCTCTCAATTTTATACATGATATTTCTGCATTAGAAATGTGTCAGCATGATCTTAAAGAAATTCAACGGACGAAGAGACGAAGTGTTGTCAGAAGTAAGAGCAAATGCCATGTCATCAGAAGACTAAAGACTTTTTGACCAATTACACTTCCTTTGGGCTGGGACCTAAGGCCGGTTGAAAGAAGGTTGTCCGAGCAAAAGACCACGATCTATTGAGCTAAGAAAAGGCATCAGCCGACTCTCATCCAAGAATCTTCATCTGTCTATCGTCTAAATTGAGCCTCTAAGACCCTTCAGGAGGCAGAAGATTTTCACCAAGATACACAACGAACACCCTAAAGGGACCTTTTGTGAAAGGGCGAGCTACATGTTAGATCACAGTGATTTATCCTCTGCTCGACAACAAAATCTCATCCTAGTGACATGAGCTCCTCATATAAGGGTTGATAGTCGACAGTAAGACTCAAGCAACCGACTAGTTGACTATAGCTGATCAAGCGAAGTCCGAACGATTGAAGATCAATCAGAGCTGATCGACAAACTCAACTTAGCATTGTCGACCGAATGAAACTTGTCGACCCAAGAACACTAACTTCATCCAATTGAGCGATAGGGTAGACCAGACGAACCACAAAATCATTTATGTAAATATCTAAAATACCCTTATATACCCCGTAACGTCCTCTTCAAAGCTGTGGTAAGCATATATATATATCCACATGTACCCCCCCCCCCCCCTTCTCTCTCTCTCTCTCTGTCTCTCTCTCTCTTTCTCTCTCTCTCTCTCTCTCTCTCTTATTCCTTGGGTATGATTCACAAGACAGATTCAAATTCAACATCCTAAAAAGTGTGGTGTGTGGTCATGTCATCAATAAGAACAAGAGCATAATAACGAGAAGAAATCCACCAAAGAGACACCACAAACATGGAGTGCGCTGAGGATTTTATGCAACAACATATCAAACGTTTGAAGGACAAGATGATGGTTCAGATGTTGGAGGCCAACAGAGTAGCAGTAGCGGCGAGAAGGAAGCAAAACCCCCATAAGGAAGTGTCAGTGTACAACAATTGAAGGGTGACTCAAGCCCCTGACAGATTAGGAGACTTCTAGTACAAAATAGTGATGGGTCAGCACTGCTAGACAGACTTCAGCGCATTGAGGCCCTCTGCCAGTCGCAAAATGCATTTCCTCTGTAGATTTTAGCTGTTGAATCCTCAGAGAAGTTCAAGTTACCATCGCTAGAATATTAGAAGGATATGACTGATCTGACCGACCATATTTCCTCCATTGTGTCGACCATTACTAAGGATAACTGATGCTCTGAAGTGTCAACTCTTTTTCACCATGCCGAGAGAGTTGGCCTTTAGGTGGCTCAATGGACTAGCAGCTGGAGTAATCACCTCCTTCTCTGACTTCAAGAGGATGTTTTTGTCACCGTTTTCTAGTGTTGAAAACCCACATAAGAGTTTGCATGCCCTGTTGCAGATTAGGCAGGAGCAAAATGAGAGCCTCCACTTATGATTCACAAGATTCCATAAGAAGTTGCTTGAAGTACGAGATCTGGAACCGCAGTCACGCACGCTACTCTAGCTCATGGACTAAAGGAGGTACTTTTCTGATTTGCTCTGGGTCTTCAACGACCAAAGACTCAAGCTGAATTTTTGGAGCTGACCAATAATCACATTTCGATTGAAGAGACAACTCCACCCCTGCGTCGGCCAGCGCATAATAAGCCATCAACCGTCTGAAGAGGATGGCCCCCAAGAGACAACAGATGGAAACTGAGGAAAGACTCTTGTCCCTTTGCTCAACTACTATATGAAGACAATCGAACTTCCCAGAACAATAGGGTGTCCAACAGAAACCAGAATCAAGGAGGTCAGGCACATTGCTCTAACCAACTACGGACCATGAAGCACCAAAGTCCACTCCGATGAGAGTTTCAATGGAGGAGTTAGTGGAGACCATCCAAAATAAGCAATACTTTAAGAAGGCACCACCAATGATAAACAAAGCTTTTATCTGTGATACAAAGAAGTATTGTACTTGCCATAGGGACCATGACCATGATACAGAGAAATGAGACACCTCCAGAGCGTGGTTGAGAAATTAATAAGACCTTGAAAGCTTAAGGATTTTGTGGTGTCAGAAGAGAAAGGCTCCAATAGAAGAAATCCCGCATAAGCCAGTTCGAGCGAACGCCATCCACATTATTGGAGCATATTTTTGGAGGTTGGAATTCATCTAAGTAAACATTATGTTCAAGTTAGTGTTCCATAAAATGAATCATCGTGCTAGCCAAAAAACGCTACAAATAAGAGAATTGTGTGCAGCTGCCTTTACTTCAAAGCGCAACACCCATCCATGAATCACATTCACTGATATGGACCTTCCTCCAAGGGGGAACCTTTAGAATGATGTCATTGTCATAATAATGATAGACAATTATCATATAAATAGCACTTTGGTCAACACTGACAACTCAGTGAACATTATGTTCAAGTTAGTGTTCCATAAAATGAATATCCAAACGGACCGACTGGTGGCACCGACCAGCCCACTCTACGGCTTCTCTGGCCAGAGAAAGGAGGCCCTGGGAGTGATTGCGCTATCATTTTATTGGAGAGAAAGTGAAAATAAATTCATCTATATGTATAACATCTTGGTGGTAGATTTGGTGCCAACCTACAACACTATCTTCATTTGCCCCTTGTTGAACAACTACAAAGTCATGGTCTCAACGTACCACATGACGATGAAGATTGAGGGTGACAGAGGGATCGTCACCGTTCAGGGGAACTTGGGGCCATCCCAGACCTGCTACCTCCCTCCGAGTGGTTGAGAGAATGGATTGGGAGCCACTTGACCTGCAACACCGACTAGTGAGACTACTCTTAAAATCCCTATAGTGAAAGGAGAGCCTGATAAAGCTTTGTTAATAAGTGCAAATTTTGATGCATGGTCCAAAGATTTACTAATCAAGACCCTCTGGAAAAATCAGAATGTCTTTGCTTATTTGACAGCTAAGATGTAAAGGATCTTGCTCGACATCCCTTGTCAATGGTTGAACACAAATCTAGTTGTCCAACCAATGAAGAAAGAAAATTAGGTCCTCAATAATGAGTCTAACTGGAGTCAATGACGACCATAGTTGGCATGTGGCTACAGGAGTGAGAGGCTGGTTGTGGTCAACTGCAGTCGATAAGAGATGGTTGACAATAATTGGTGGTTGCAAATACATGAGGCTAACAATGGTCGACGGTGGTTGGCAATTGTAGGAGCATAAGGCCGACAATAGTTAGTTATGGTTCGTTGTTGCAGGAGCGTGAAGTGTACATTCAAACGTCGGTGCAAGATTCTAGACTTTAGCTCCCCCTTCTCCAGGTTTTGGCCTCTCTCTCGCTCAAGGTCTAGTCCCCTCTCAAGAGGAGCGGTTAACATCTATTTATAAAGTCTAAATTGCAAACAATAAAGGAATCTAGACCACTTTCGATCCTATGGCCCGAAAAGAGTTTCTTGATCATATAACATTTGGTGGTTATTGGAGTATCGTAATGATGTCAGAATTGAGCTATCTTGAACTCATTGAATTATTCTTGTCGAAACGCTTGATTTGACCATAAGCTTCTTAGATTATGAATTTGTTTGACCTTCCAATTATACATTGGAAGCTTTCCAAAGTGGTTTAATGGCTTGATTGGTGTTTGATTTAACTCGGATTGAACAAATTTTGATATTGTTGGATCGGTCAGTTTGACAGTAAATTTGCAAAAATTGGAATTCTAAATAACTTTTAATGGAAGTTTGAATATTTCTTTCTCAAAAAATTATATTCGGATTTATGTTATGACTTGAGAGGAGTGTTAGATGATGAAAATTTATTGATGGCCTGCCACTAATTATATTTATTATAGTTATAGGGCATTTACATATATACCATTCAATTCTTATATATTTACATATTTAATTGCTAAAATTTATTTTATACCTCTCAAATCTAAACATCTTTTAATTAAAAAAAAACAGTAAAATAGGACTCTTGATGCATAGGAAACATGGCATGTCTCTAAAATTTAATATCTTGTTTAAGAGATGTATATGTATAAGAATTGAATGATATGCATGTAAATCTTTCTTATATTTATACGGCCTATTTCTACATAAAAAATATATAATTAAGTACTTGATTCATTTATAAGTTGGCCACATCCTTAGAAAAAAACCTTACATACGGAGTGCAGATGCAGCTTTGTGTTCGGACTCTAATAAAATCTTTTTCTCTGTATTTGACTGTGTCCACCTAAAAAATGACGAAAATACACCAATAACTCCCCAATAACACTACGGTGTCTTTTGCGTGGACCTCATGACAATGTTATTAATGTTATTTACGGCATTATTATGGTATTATTGTGATATTATTGAGTTATTTTGCTCGATTATTATGGTGTTATCACAATATTATTTGTGAGGTCCTGTGAATGGTGTTGATAACCGACCTTAGGGGTTAGGTTTAGGGTTATCCATCCCTATAGTGAAAGGAGAGCCTGATAAAGCTTTGTTAATAAGTGCAAATTTTGATGCATGGTCCAAAGATTTACTAATCAAGACCCTCTGGAAAAATCAGAATGTCTTTGCTTATTTGACAGCTAAGATGTAAAGGATCTTGCTCGACATCCCTTGTCAATGGTTGAACACAAATCTAGTTGTCCAACCAATGAAGAAAGAAAATTAGGTCCTCAACAATGAGTCTAACTGGAGTCAATGACGACCATAGTTGGCATGTGGCTACAGGAGTGAGAGGCTGGTTGTGGTCAACTGCAGTCGATAAGAGATGGTTGACAATAATTGGTGGTTGCAAATACATGAGGCTAACAATGGTCGACGGTGGTTGGCAATTGTAGGAGCATAAGGCCGACAATAGTTAGTTATGGTTCGTTGTTGCAGGAGCGTGAAGTGTACATTCAAACGTCGGTGCAAGATTCTAGACTTTAGCTCCCCCTTCTCCAGGTTTTGGCCTCTCTCTCGCTCAAGGTCTAGTCCCCTCTCAAGAGGAGCGGTTAACATCTATTTATAAAGTCTAAATTGCAAACAATAAAGGAATCTAGACCACTTTCGATCCTATGGCCCGAAAAGAGTTTCTTGATCATATAACATTTGGTGGTTATTGGAGTATCGTAATGATGTCAGAATTGAGCTATCTTGAACTCATTGAATTATTCTTGTCGAAACGCTTGATTTGACCATAAGCTTCTTAGATTATGAATTTGTTTGACCTTCCAATTATACATTGGAAGCTTTCCAAAGTGGTTTAATGACTTGATTGGTGTTTGATTTGACTCGGATTGAACAAATTTTGATATTGTTGGATCGGTCAGTTTGACAGTAAATTTGCAAAAATTGGAATTCTAAATAACTTTTAATGGAAGTTTGAATATTTCTTTCTCAAAAAATTATATTCGGATTTATGTTATGACTTGAGAGGAGTGTTAGATGATGAAAATTTATTGATGGCCTGCCACTAATTATATTTATTATAGTTATAGGGCATTTACATATATACCATTCAATTCTTATATATTTACATATTTAATTGCGAAAATTTATTTTATACCTCTCAAATCTAAACATCTTTTAATTAAAAAAAAACAGTAAAATAGGACTCTTGATGCATAGGAAACATGGCATGTCTCTAAAATTTAATATCTTGTTTAAGAGATGTATATGTATAAGAATTGAATGATATGCATGTAAATCTTTCTTATATTTATATGGCCTATTTCTACATAAAAAATATATAATTAAGTACTTGATTCATTTATAAGTTGGCCACATCCTTAGAAAAAAACCTTACATACGGAGTGCAGATGCAGCTTTGTGTTCGGACTCTAATAAAATCTTTTTCTCTGTATTTGACTGTGTCCACCTAAAAAATGACGAAAATACACCAATAACTCCCCAATAACACTACGGTGTCTTTTGCGTGGACCTCATGACAATGTTATTAATGTTATTTACGGGCATTATTATAATGTTATTGTGATATTATTGAGTTATTTTGCTCGATTATTATGGTGTTATCACAATATTATTTGTGAGGTCCTGTGAATGGTGTTGATAACCGACCTTAGGGGTTAGGTTTAGGGTTATCCTCATATTATCCGAATTATTTTATAGAATGTGGTGTTTGTTATTGAACTTTTGAGAGCGTCATGTTGGGCTTAAGCTAAAAGGATGCTTCAAGCGAATAGAGATTCCACGAGCGCAGCCGTCATCTTCTTCCTCCCTGTAAACTTCTAATCCTGCTGCATTTCGCTCCCCATTCGAGTGTTCGCTCTACTTTCTTTGGTTTTCTACAGCCTCGCTGCTTGACGGTTATCGCTGCCGGATAGATTAAGGAAAATCTGTTCATACACTTCGATCTTCCATTTTTATACCCATTGGACCTTACAGGTAAGGCAAATCTCTCTTCTTCCATAGTCTTTTTCTTTTGTTGCTAGATCTGAGCTCATTTCTTAGTTAGATAATATTACTTGTTTAAAGGTTATGCTTTATCTGCTTTGCCTTTGCATTATATTCATATTTTTTTGGTTCTTAGCAAAGTATGGAAGAAGTTTATGTCTGTTACTGTGATTACGGTGGAGTTTGTTTGCTCCTTAACCTTCATGTGCTTTCATTACTGAGATTTTGAAAGAAAGAAATTTAATTTAAGACTAGTTTCACAGACATGATCAATTATAGCTTTTTCTTAAATCTTTAGCAATTATACTTCATTCATTGGAGAGATAGTTTGCATAATGGCATGTTTTTAGGGATATTATAGGCCTCTTTAATTGAAGCCCTGAGAAGTTGTAAACTCAGGCTATAGTTTTCCTAGGAGAGAAGAAATTGTAGAATTTTTTGTGAAGTAAGAAAACCAGAAAAAGCTATGAATTGCTTCATATACATACCACCCAATTCTTGTATTTTTACATATCTAACACCTAAACTTTGATTATTATATTTC